ATAACGTGCTTCCTGCTTCCTTTTGCAAACACTTTACCCCCAGACATACCCTGGAACATTGAACAGTGAGGCTACATTATAGTGGAATCCAACTGCTTAAAACCCTGTATGATGACCATACACTAATCATATATGTTTTTAAGATAAGTGACTCCACAGGAAAAAATCTTTGCTGTGGACACAAAAGATTGATATATAGCTTATTCAGAAGGGTATACTGATATTTAAAGAAACCCAATACCTAGGGGTGATCTATGAGATCATAGAAGTTCTGTTGCTCCTTTTAGAAACACTTTGCTGAAAAGTAACATCTTTTCGGGACTGAAGAAAAGAAAAACGCTATTCAGTTATAATGATAGACAGTCAAGGCAGTCTTCATCAGGAATAAATAAATCAAGGTAACAGTAGTGAGACATAACCTGGGATAGAAGTACAGTTTTATTTCCGTTAAAATGGTTATAACTTTTCCTTATTCACAATGGTTTAAGCCATATCTGACTTATAACCCTGTTTAACCATTCCATTATTGTTTGTTAATGTCTACAACTCCTTCTGCACACCAAGTGAGAATCTGAAGAACATTCCACAGGTTCATAGAATCATAGAATAGTTAGGGCTGGAAAGGACCTTAAGATAAACTAGTTCCAACCCCCCCTGCCATGGACAGGGACACCTCACACTAAACCATGCCACCCAAGGCTTTGTCCAGCCTGGCCTTGAACACTGCCAGAGAGGGAGCATTCACAACTTCCCTGGGCAACAAATTCCAGTGTCTCACCACCCTCACAGTAAAGAACTTCTTCCTTATATCCAATCTAAACTTCCCCTGCTTAAGTTTTAACCAGTTACCCCTTGTCCTGTCACTACAGTCCCTAATGAAGAGTCCTTCTCCAGCATCCCTATAAGCCCCTTTCAGACACTGGAAAGCTGCTATGAGGTCTCCACGCAGCCTTCTCTTCTCCAGGCTCAACAGCCCCAACTTTCTCAGCCTATCTTCATACAGGAGGTGCTCCAGTCCCCTCATCATCCTCGTGGCCCTTCTCTGGACTTGTTCCAACAGTTCCATGTCCTTTTTATGTTGAGGACACCAGAACTGCACACAATACTCCAGGTGAGGTCTCACGAGAGTAGAGTAGAGGGGCAGGATCACCTCCTTCAACCTGCTGGTCACACTCCTTTTGATGTAGCCCAGGATACAGCTGGCTTTCTGGGCTGTGAGCACACACTGAAGCCAGTGCATGTCCATTTTCTCATCAACCAACACCCCCAAGTCCTTCTCCACAGGGCTGCTCTGAATCTCTTCTCTGCCCAACCTGTAGCTGTGCTTGGGATTGCTCCGACCCAGGTGTAGGACCTTGCACTTGTCATGGTTAAACTTCATAAGGTTGGCATCAGCCCACCTCACAAGCATGTCAAGGTCCCTCTGGATGGCATTCCTTCCCTCCAGCGTATCAACCGAACCACACAGCTTGGTGTCATCGGCAAACTTGCTGTGAGTGCACTCAATCCCACTGTCCATGTCAGCGACAGAGATGTTGAACAAGACCGGTCCCAACACCAATCCCTGAGGGACACCTGAGGTTTATGAAGTTCAAGACAATTTACCCTATATTTTGCATTGGAGACATGACACTGTGTTTCAGAAACTCACGTATGTTCACTTGAGTGTGAGACTGCTGTGAAGCTCATTCCTATGAAATCACTACTTCAGTGGTTTACAGTGGTGTTACAGCTCTGTCTCTGCCTGCCTACGAAACAGCTGTATTATTTCTGTGGCTCTTGATGACTTCTGAATAGCATGAGCTTATGAAGAGAAAAAACTAATAGCATTTTTATACACAGAAATAGAATAAATTATCTTTTCACAATTAATTCAATGGACATTGGATTCTGCATTACTGATATTTGCAAAGCTTTTTCTTTTTATCTTGGAAAATGTATTGTGATCTCACTATTATGATTTAGTCATTGATTTGGACAAAGTAATTATATAAAATAGTTCTAACATTATTTGAAAAATCTTACAGATAGCAAACAAATATGGAAAATTTTGATTAATTACTTCAAATATTCCACTGGACAAACACAGTTCTCCTTTACTGCAAAGAGAGTAAGTTCATTTCTCTCTTTTTAAGGGAGAAGAATAGGAGCTTGTTCACATGACTCCTTTCTTTAAACATAGCAGTAAATTTTGCTCTTTGATTATGCAGCCATTTGGGAATGTTTCTAGTCAAAGAATATGCTGCCTGACAGAAACGCAGAGTTAAGTTTCCTCCTTTAAAGAATTCTATCCTTTAAAAAAAATAAGCAATAGTTAAAAAAGAGGCCAATAAAAACCCCGATGTGTCAGTGCTTCACAATTTTGTGACACTGAAATAACTACATTCCTGTAGGAGGGAAAAAATGGCTCTTCATCTATAGAACAAGACTTCATCTCCCTCTGTCTACATCAAACTTTCTGATAACATTCAGATATAGCACAAGTTGGACCTCAGACATACAGATACAATTTCTTCATGACATAAAGAGCAGTTTGTAAATCACTTACTAACTAACCTCAGCTAACATATGCCTAAAACAGGTTGTCTCCTGAATTTTGTTCAGTGATGCCTTACTGAAAGATAACACTGATCCTTGGCTCTGCTAAGTATGTAACTTGCCAGAGGCATTGACAGCAACTGGAGTCACGGGACTTAGTTGACTGGGTATCACTTGTTTGCCACAGCATTAGATAATTAAGATTACATTTTTATGGTCAGTGTCTTTTGGGTTCACCCCCCTCCCCTCCACAAAGCCAGGATGATAAGTCACTCCATTTTCTGCTTTTCAGGGGGAAAACACAAAACCAAACAAACAATGATTCTGTGAGGGAATGTGTTGTAGCTCAGGAGCCAGGGTTGCCAAATGGCATTGTTTTTTTCACAGAGATTGAATTAAAAAAAAAAAAACAACCCAAAATCACAAGCAAAAAAACCCCACCCACACCACACCAAAAAAAAACCACTGTAAGTAGTCAGATATGTTCTGGGAGTCCCAGGGCGTGACAAGACTGAGAATCTTCATTATGTGCATTTGTGTATAAGGGCTCAAGCTGATACCTGTCTAGGAGACTCCTGTCCTTGCCAAAAGCACACTTTATCATCTTAAGTTTCCTCTGTCTTTAAAGAAAACAGGAGGGACTTCTCCCCAGTGATGGTAGTAGCACAGTGACAACAAACAGGTAGCAAAAGTTGATCAGGCAATCAACTCTTAGGAGTAGTTCCTGAAGCATAACAGGCAGATACAGTCAATCTGCCCTGAGGCAAAGTGGTGCTTTCTTTTACATACCTAGCAGAGTATTGCTGAGAGAACAGCACATGCATGTCTACTAACTGCCACTTTCAAAAGAGTGGTTGAGCTACATGAGCAGCTACTATATGCAGCACTCTGAGAAGCAGAAGCCTGAAAACTGCAAGACTTCAGTTTTTTGGCCATGCATGGAGACAACTATAAATCACATGCTGTTAAAACAACTGTTTGGTACCTAAACCTACATAAAAAAAATTCTTGACACCATCTGTGGCCAAGCAGGAGACACCCATGAACTTGCATGGATGTGCTACTTCACGACTGTCTTGCTGGGAAGACAAAGAGAAGACTGCACCAGATCAGATGAGTGCCTGTGAAAAGGCACTCATGCCACCCCAGTCTGCAAATATCTGATGAACAGAATCCTTTCATACATACAAAGTTTTGTGTTTACCTCTAAAAGCTACATCAAGAGAAATCACTTAAAAACTAGGCTTTTTCCTGAGAAGGAAATACCTCTAAGACCTTGTCCTGGGTTCAGCAGTAGCAGTCATTTTTCTCCTTCTTGGTAGCTGGTGCAGTGCAGTGTTTTGACTTTTGGCTCGGGAACAGAGCTGATAACAATGATGTTTTGGCTTGGCCAAGGACCAAGTGAGCCTCATGCTCTGCCAGGGAAGAGGGGAAGCCAGGAGGAAGCAGAGACAGGACACCTGACCCAAACTGACCAAAGAGGTATTCCATACCACAGCACCTCATGCCCAGGATGTAACTGGGAGTTAGCTGGAAGGTCTGGGGGACTGCAGGGTTGGAGGAGGTATCGGTCGGTGCTTGGTTGGGCTGGGGGGGGGCAAGTTATCGGTCGGCTGGTGGTGAGGTGTTGTACTCTCTTCCCTTGTTATTTCCTTTATCATTATTATCATTGGTGGTAGCAGTAGTGATTTGTGTTATACCTTAGTTACTAAACTGTTCTTATCTCAACCCGTGGGAGTTGCATTCTTTTCGATTCCCCTCTCTGTCCCTCTGGGAGTAGGGGGAGGGAAAGAAGGGGGGGAGTGAGTGAACGAGTTACCTGACTGGGTTTAAACCACGACAGACCTCTTCAGTATTAAACAATATCTAATGCATTAACAGATATAAGTTTACTGAAATAATGCTTTGAAAAATGTTCCTTAAGAATTTGAGGTGTCTATGCCGCTTCTTACTCGGGCTTTTTACTGATGTCACTTCAAGAAGCAAAGGAAACAATGATAAGCATGTGGAAGAACAGGCTGTAAAATAACTGGTGAGAAGAATCTACTTCTGTGGGCAAAGCCTGAAAATCAGATTTGAAAGATTTGATATGTAAGAAGGTGTGTATATTATCACTGCCCTGAAAGCTTCAAATTTCTACGATAGTTATAAAATAAGCATTGACATAAATGTTTTAAGTATTACATTCTGCATTTAACCTATGCATACTTGAATATGTAAGAGTTCTACTTCAGTGAAATAGATAATATAAAATGATTTTATCCTTCGTTCCAAGCAGCAACTGACCAAGTTGTTCCCTTTTGCTAAACATTAGAGATGTTATCTGATGCTGAACAGCTCCTTGGAAGTGTACCATACATGTCAGTTTACATCTATTTCTGCAATTCTAACATGGTTAGAATTCCTACAAATACTTATTCTTGTAAGTGCCACCATACTTGAGGAATATGTCAAAATCTTACCGCTACATTTCCGTTGCACTTTTGGGACTGGCAAACACCTCTTATTCTGTTGGGCATCAGCACATCATCCCAGCAAGATGGACCCTTCAGAATAAAACCAAAGCACATATAAAGCAAAGGCTTTAATCTACATAACAAACAAACATATAAAAGTTGTTTTGTTGCCACTTTTCCTAGTCCTAAGTATTTTAAACTTCAGCTAGACAATTTTATTATGTTTATGATGAAAAAAAGCCCCATCAGATTATATTACAATATTCATCAGTAAATCTCAGTCACTGAGAGAAGCTACAACCCCTCCATCCTGAGGCTGAAACAGCAGATATATATTTTTTCGATCTTAAGACAGGGACTGACTTAATTCTGACTAAAAAAAACACTACAAAGACTCATCTTCTGGTTCAACACTGTTTGCACCTTGATGTGCAGCAGAGTAGGGAGGGAAAAAGGGAAAAAAACAATAGTTGGAAGTAGAATACACAGTTAAAAAGACTGAAACATAACACAGAAACAACAAAGTACAGAAAAGCTAACCTAGTCTAAGTATTTAATGGCTGTAATTTCACTGAAATCTGTTTCTGTTTTCATGGGATGCTGCATTCATTTTCATGAATGTTGATAATGTTCCCTGTAAATGAATTAGACTTTTTGTCACCAGATAAAGCCTTTACCTAACCATAATACAACATAATGAAAATGTAAAGTGAAAATTCTTAGTAGATTCCTGGACATTTACATTAGCTTCAAGATTTATTTGTCACTGTTAATAACAACTTCCCCCTGTCCCCAAAAGACAATAACAAAAAAAGATAGAAAATCTTTAGCAAACTTTGCTTTCACTTCTTGAATACAAAGAATTAATTTATGTGTGTACTCAGAACACAGAGTAAAGATTATAATTTTCTTAATTATTCAGAATTGCAAAACAGTACGGTTAACAGGATGATTTATCAAAGAAGAATATTTATATCTATGGCATATATAGGAACATTTATTAAAATATTACCCAGCATAAAAATTTTACAATATGCTAGCAAGTCTCAATAGTAATCTCACACCAGCTAATATTTAATTAATAGAAAATTAAAATTAATCAGATAAAGAAATACTAAGCTACAGATATCCATATACATAGCAGATATGGACAACTAAGAAAAATATTTGCTTCTCGGATTACTCAGTGTTGTGGGTAGTGTCACTACTCCGGAATAAAACGAAAACTTTACCCAGAAGAGAAATTATAGGTCAGTCAAGGCATTTAATTGTATTACTGAAATTAATCCCTACTTAAATCATGTTTGGATTACAAAGTAATCTAGTACCACATCTAGATCCATCTTCTTCATACTTCTGTATGAGGCATTTCCTCAGTATAGTGCAGATACGTGTGAGATAGCTCTGAACTAAGTTACTAATGTAAACTTGGTTATAGAAAGACAGATCCAGCCTACCTAAAAACCAAGTAAAACAGCTCTCCTTCCTACTGTCATAGCTGAAGTCCTGGCATTTGAGAATGGTAAAAAAGAGCTTGAATATGTGTAAGTTGTACTGCAGGCATACACAGGGGTGGCTACTGCTACATTTGCCTTGTTGGGAGAAAAACAGCTGCAGTATAATATAGATAGTAAAAAGTAAGAATACTTGAAATTGTGGGAAATAAACCCCACCAAAAAAATCACCACAACAAAACCACCAATTCCACTCCACCTCCCCCCCGCAAAAAAAAGAAACCCAACCGAAAAACAAAAAGTTTTTTCCCCACCCAAAATTGCATTAAATTATTCAAAACATTTATAGAAATCAAGTTTCCCACCAGTTGTTCCAGTGGCTTTTGACCTCTTGCAAAGTTGACACTTTGCAGGTAGAACAGCAGGGCCTCCTTCAGATATTGTATATTTTTTCCTATTTTCAACTCAGTAGCCAAAGGCTTAATTCAACACACCCCCATTTATTTGTTTTTCCACATGCCACCCAATACTGTGTGGATCTGTAACATACTTCTCAAGCCGTTTCCCTTCCATTCCTCATATAGATAAAAGCAGACTAACATTTAACTCTCTTGGTATTTTAGACAACAAGAAACATGACACAGTATACAAGACTTACATGCTGAACTGAAATGGGAAAACAGAGTCTCTGTATTTCTTTGGTTTTTTGATTTTTTTTTTTATAATTATTAAAATGCAATTTGCTGGTGGTTACTAAGCACAGAAGCAGCATTTTGGTGAATTATTTATAACAGCTCCTGTACGTCATTCCTGAATGTAATAGTTATCGCAAAATCCATCGTGTGAATATAAAAATTCAGGTTTATCTTCCCAGCGCATATCACTTAATATTAACATACATTAAATTCCATCTGCCACTCTGACACCAGATGAAGCCTGCATACTGAAGTCCACAGAGGGTCTTCTCATAGATGCTTCCTAGGCTTCTCCATACTGAGTCCATCTGTTTGTTCACAAGGACAAACCAGCTGTATACTGCATTCTCACCAAGCGTTTCCTTTATATAGCAATCATCTAGAGAACTCGTATGCTTTCTGCCCCTTTTATACTTTAAAAGAGCTCAGTAACAGTTTTCATGCTGTTGACAAGTTATAAACTTTTTGCTTGCCTAACTGCATTTTTATATTGAAGGTGCTGGAATTAGGTGCTTATTTTGTTAGTTTTGGTTTGGTTTTTTTTTGTTTTTTTTTTTGGGGGGGGGGGTTGGTTGTGGTTTTTTTCCCTAGGTTTTCTTGTGTCCCATTTCAAATTTCTCATTACTCATTTTTTCTGAAAGATGCATCCTTGATTCTAATAAGATTTCCCCATACTATTTTTCTACCCCTATAATTTAGCCATGCCAGCTTCTGTTCAGTTCTTAAGTTTTTGTGCTCATAATCTTTGATTCCAATACAACTCCCACATCTCCCCCAAAGTTTTAACTCTTTAGCTGTCTTTTCTAGCTTCTTCTCAACAAGCACTCTTTACTTCTATGTATCTTTCTAAAAATTAAGCACAATACTTGTGCCTTTCTCAGATTTTTCAAAGTTGCTGAATGTAAATATACTACAATCATTCTAAAAGACTGTGTCTTTGTTATTGACATTATAAACCAGGTCCTCTGAATCACCTTCCCTTACAGGTTCTTTGATCAGCTCTACCATAACACAACCTGATACCAACTGAAAAAGTTCACTCTTGGGATGATGGTTTGTCATGATACTTGAATAATTTACATGAAAACAATTCAAATATGCCACTATAAACCTTTTCTTACATTCTCAAGCTTTTAATTTCGCAGTTTTAGAATCACTACCATCATCTGGTCAAGTGGCTGTTAATGGGAGTCTTACGTATTTTTTTATTTACTCCATCCCTGGCGGTGTTCAAGGCCAGGTTGGACAAGGCCTTGGGTGACATGGTTTAGTGTGAGGTGCCCCTGCCCATGGCAGGAGGGGTGGTACTAGATGATCTTAAGGTCCTTTCCAACCTTAACTATTCTATGATTCAGGCTCAGATTCTTGCTCCATGAGGATACTGGGTAACCCACTGGCTTGCTGAAGAAAAGCAAGACTAACAAATTAGCATTTCCTTAAGATCTATCCCTCTTCCTTCATATGCAAGTTTGTTATTATACATTTATTAGAACATTTGTTTTTTCAGTTTAGAGGAATTCAGTAGGTTTGCATACATTTAGATAATCCTTACATAGTTTCCTTCCTTCCCATACTTGGAAAGAGGACACTAGAAAGAAAGGATGAGAAATAAAAAGCAAGCATGCTTTATAAAATTCAAGGTCAGGTATGGGACAGGCACAGAAGGAAACACTCATTAAAAACCAAACAAACTAAAAACAAACCCTAAAGCTAAAAAGCCTCAAATGCCCCAAACAAAAACTACCCAAACCCCAAGCACAACCACTTTAGTCCTGGTCATGACAACATCAGCAGTAAATCTTCCTGTTATTTCATCTTTGTGCAATTAATACAAGACTCTCAAAGTTAATGATACTATGTCAATATACACAGAAAAATAATCACAAGTTTGCTACACACCAAAATAATTTAAATGTCTTGTAAAAGCAGTTCCACAGGTATGTGTTACCGACCCTCATAATAATTATGTTGATTTCATAAGATGAAAGTATTTCAATCTTATCTATTTAACAGAATTAACAGTTCAATTTCACTGAATTTATTTCAGGAGAAAAATTCCCAAGTGTTCAGTAGTTTGCACGTAAGAAGGCATAGTAACTCTTTAGCAAGAAAGAAAATACATGCAGAACCATTCATAAGGTTGAATAAGATTCTATAAAAATGCACATTGAAAACGGATTTGATACCGCATCACTACGTTGAGTAAGCCACAGTCTTATAACAGTTGAGAAACAGGCCGTTGATTCACGTAAGAGAATCAAAAAAGCATCCTTAAAGAAACCAGAACAGAATTGGTGCAGTATTGACTATTGTTAAAATTCAACTACAATTAGTGAAAGAGCAGGTCCAAATATGCTTACTATAGCAATATATTTATTAATAGTAACAACAATAGCATGAATTTTGTGGTCACCTTAAGGTCTTGTCTATGAGGGAAAACTAGTGTGCTCTAAGGCCTGGTGTGAACTTCTAGCACTCTCTGCAACAGTTTCCTCACGACATTTCTCAGGCACACAAGGGTACTTTTTGCATGAAGAATCTGTTTGAAATAGGAATATGTCATCTTCCACTTATGGCATGCTAAAAACACACACACAGGGAGGTAGTAGCACAGTTCCACGCTATCGGTGATTACTCAGCTGTTCATTCGTGCTATAGCTAACAACTCCCTATTTTTTCCTTTATAGGAAACACACCCTATCCAACATATCTTTACATTAACTATTGTGATGGGCATAAACCCCATAAGTCTGCCAGAGCCAGCTTAAATCAACAGCATTTTCTCTTTGTTCTAGCAAGTGTTAAAAGTTTTTAAGGGACAAATTAATTCAGCAGGAAAAGTCCAAGGTGGACTGGCAGAACACCTTGAGTTTGTCTAGCAGTGAGCAGTTGAGGGAAAAAAGTAACAAAAGAACACACCCCCCCACCTCCAAAAACAGAA